TACATGGATGGAGGTGGGATCTTTCTATTGTTGAGGATATTAAGATGTGAGATTTTGGATGGTATGTGATGAAGAGCAATAGAGGTTTTTTTTGCAGACGCAGAAGTTAGCTTTGCTGTCAACATGTGTGTCTGTGTCTTGTTCATCAAAAGGCATTATGTATTAGATGATGTTGCAAAGCTGATTAAAGATCAGATTGTGCTTTTTAATAGGCCGTTTTTTCACATTCATTACAAATGCAATCCAAATTGGATGTTGTTTCTGTGTAGCCAAATTCATTTATATTTATTTTTTTCTTAAACAAAATTTGAGTGTCACTTAAATAAAATTTGGATATACACATTGTTTTAAAATGGTAATAAATATTAATTAAAAAATAAAATTAGATATATCATTTTTACTTTATTAGTATCAAATAAATTGATAATTAATATCACTTGAAGTAATAATCATCTATAATTTTTTAAATGACTATATGTAATACTTTTCCAAAATAATTTTGCTAGCATACTATTAAACTCTACTTTGTTTGTACATTATTTGTAGACAATTGCAAGGAAAACATTATCCTTGTAGGATATGTGCAAATAGAAGACGTAAGGCAATTCATATAATATTAGGTATTACAATAGAAATAGGACCAAGTTGAAGCAAGACATTGACTTAAAGCTTATATATTCCATTCACTTATAGTTGCTACAAAAGTGCCTTCTTGTTCTTGCTTCTATAGATTTGAACTATAATGTAAATCATTATATTGATGTTTTTTCATAGATGTCACTTTTGATTTTATTTCTTGCTCCTTGTGATCTTTTCTTTAGACAAATCACTTGTGGATTTTTCAATTACATAGTTATTGTTGAAAGCTCAACCAATTTTTTTACATATATTTTCTTATTAGTAAAGATGTAAAACATTGAAAATTTGACTAATAGCAATATAAAGTAGACATAAACTTTTAAGAGAGAATGAAATTATAGGTAGTAATAAAATAAATTGTTTAAGATTATTTACTAGTTAGTATTGATGATAAAAATCACTAATTGACAAAACATCTCTTCTTTTCAATAAAATTCTTATTTGATACTTATGTAGTAGATCTAATTTATTTATCATTGTCCTTGTGCAAGAAAAATTGTATTCATCAATTTTTGTTCTTGCTTCTTTATATTTTTGAAAGATAAGATTAAGAGCATGTAAAGATACATATTTTAGAAAATTGGTAAAAAAAAATAATATTATATTGATGAACAATATGGATTTATTTAAAATTTTCTTGAGCCTTCAATTCTCTTGTTGTATTCTCAAAAAAGTAAGAGATAGAAATTTGAACTTATCTAAGATCTTTGGTGGAAATTTTTAAATAGGACTTTAATATTGAATGTTGATCCTCTACTTATGATGTAATAATACTTTGGAGGTGAAGTAGATTCTTTATTTAAGCTTTAACAAATCTCTTCTTGTGTGGTATCTAAGTATTCTTTAAGTACTCAATAGTTTCATGAGCAACAATAAGAATGTACTTTTTGCAAAGATTATTTCACTCCAAATCAAAAAGCTCTACAAAACATGCACTAATCATAGTGGTCCAATCTACAAGGAATGAAGACCATCTTAATTCTACTTTATTTGAAAAGTGTTTTTATAATTTGCTAATATATTTTTTTGTATATGCCAAATGCAAAGTAATATGTTTGAAGTAGAAAATATTAATTCAATGGCATGTATTAATGCTAAATCCCTATCAACATCTATACAAATGGATTGAATTTCTCCATACACTTCTTAAAGCATTGTTTGTATACAATATAGCCTTGATTGTGCATAAATTTATCAACAATACGTTTTATTTCTTCTATACTTTCAAAATATCCTTCTAGTGGTGCACACATATATTCCTTACTTTCTATTGAAAAATGCAAAAAAATTATAGAATATATAATTTCTTCTCTTTTATCTACTATACATAATCTAAAAAGGAGTATATATTAAAATAAATTGAAGAAATAAATTAAATATACATATAATTATAGGACAAGTAGAAGAAGAGCAATAGAAAGACATTATTACTAGTCATTTAAAATTCTTAAAAACCATTGAGAACTATATCTAAAATGATGATTCTCTTTATTAAAATATAGATTATGGTCTTAATAATGAAGAAGATTTGTACTATCTATGTGCAAAATTTAGATAATGCATGGATCACTTTAATAAAAATTTGGATATCATTTGCAAAAAGATATTATTTTTCTATATAGATACCATTTGCATTACATGCAATATAAATGGTATCTTGTGATATATAGATACTGTGCAATACAAAAACTTATATCACAAAAAGAAAGAATTGAGATAAATAAAAGATAGATTTATGATATAAAGGATCCTATACCTTAATGTTTTATGTAAGATTCTTTGTATTGTGAAGTTTCTTATATAATTTGGTCTTTATAATTTAATTGGTAAACCATATGTTTTTTAAAGTTTTTTTAGTGTAGATGTTTTTATTTTTTATTTTTTATTTTTTTACTATACATTCTCCTTAACCACATCTTTTCTATACTTTTATTTATTTAATTATAAAATTATAGATATTGGTGAAGGTAGATGATTTTTATCATTTAATCAATAAAAGTAGCATAAAGTTTTTAAAAAATTAATCATCTATGTATGTATGTGTGTATATATATATATATATATATATATCTATTATTTGACAGCTTATTTATTTTTCAACATCAAAGCATTTTTTTTTTATCAAATTATTTGGAGAAGTAATAATCAATTAAAAAAATTGGAAAAATAAAATTTGCATTTACTTACATCAAAATACCTCAACACCTTGGGATAAAAGTCCATAAAAAATTATCTTAAAAATTTGGAGAGTAATCTCAAACAATTTATTCAAATTCAAAGACCAAGATAAACTAAAGTGAAAAGATCTTGCATGAAATTATGCCATTAACCCAATTCATTGAATATCAATGGTAGTATTGTTTACAATCTAACTTCATTTTCATTCAACTTAAAGGGCTACACAGAGCGAGGAAAGACACGTAATCAACAATGCTTACAGAAGACAAAAGGGGCGTCACTGGCAGTGAAATGCCACCATGAAACTGATACAAGGACAAAGTTAGCACCATACTTTGATGATAATTGAGCTCAGAACAACACACAATCTCTGTCGCCATCAAATACTCTTCTTCGAGTAAATCGCTGCTTGTTTATTTGCAAAGTTCGGAATACAGTTACTGTCATGCAACACACCGTAATCTGGCTATGCTCACACTGCCAGGATCACCGGTAACACTAAACAGCGTTCTAGTCTACCTGTGTTTGCACGAGCAAATTGATTAGCCAGGTGGATTTGTTACAAACGGGTCAACTACAATAAGTAGACGATTTTCGATACCAGAGTTGAAGCCGTTGAACAGCAGGAACAAGACTTTCATAATCGCAGCGCCAGCAAGGTAAATAGAAATCACTCCGTCATTGTTGATCTGGAATATGATGGATGTCCATAGGCTGACCAATGGTCAGAGGATCTCCCAAGCCTCCGTCGATGTCCCATTCGCAAGAAAAGGCTCGAGGCGAAAACTCTACACTTCTCATGGTAGTGGCGTACAATAAATCAATGGAGCAGTTAATTGGAGCAAACAGAGAGAAGCCCAAACCAGAGAAAGGAGCCATGAGACAGAGATAGAGACCGAGGAAGAGGGCTCTTGAAACGCAGCATATTGTTGAAGTGAATCGCCAATGGAACCGTGCCCTTTTAGGCCCATCTGTGCCCAGATTATTCCTGATCTTGAATAATAAAATTCTGGTATTGACAATTCTGGTATTTCTTTGTACACCACTGTTCCCGGAATTGCATATTCTTTTTTGCTCAGGAATACTTCTGGAGACTCGGAAAACAATTCTAAGTTTGAATATGCTCATGTGGAAAACAAGAATAATATAAATCAATTCTAGAGCATTTGTGTGTTGGGTTGTTGTACGGCAAGACATGGGTGTTGGGTTTGGTGTATGGCAAGATCATAGACACATGTAGGCAAATGTTTACATATGGGAATTGTGTCCTAAGTAGTGGAAGTAATAACACAACTCTGGATCAATGCAGGGACCTACCTACTATTTTAGGATAGGAGTGGTAACAATATACTTTGCTATTCATGACCGTGGGGGTCCCAATGAGCATACGTGGGGGTGGGCGGAGATCCAGACTCATTCAATATGCTCCGATTGGGTGCCCACGAAGTGAAGCGTTGCACAATCGCATTAATTATAACCCATTTTTGGACTTTGTTGTAAGCAGGATGCAGACACAAGATCGCAGCTGAGGAGACTCGAGCAAAGGGACCAGCGGGTGTCGTCGTCATCTCGTTCGCGCTAATCCTAGCACTGATTGTTTTTGCTGTGAACAAATTTGATCTCTACGCTCAAGTTTATATGCTCAGAGCAGCGGCGCCACTCTTGCCTGCCTTGCTTGATCGTGTGGAAGCCTGACAGGGGACTCTGGTGTTTGGATTTGTTTCAAATGTAGTTGGACGTGGTTTGGGAGAACTCTGCGACTGCAGCGCGGGAGGGGGCGTCCTGTTCGCGCGGGGCCCAGACGGGTCCCAGTTCAGACTAAAAATAAACAGGAAGAAGACAGGTTATCACTCCGAGGGGCATTTTTGCAATTATCAAAACTTGAGGGGTATTCTTGATATTTCGAGAAAGTTCAGGGCCATGTGTGATATCTGCCCAAAATTCTTAATATTAATACTTGCAATGTTTGTGAACAGAATTTGAGGTTTTCCACATATTCAATTAGCTTCCGTTTGATGTAAAACTAAAACACTCTTTGATGGTTGGAATGTCCCAAGTATGTACAAAACAGGATTGGTTAAAAAAATCAATTAAATCAAACAAACCTAGAAAGGTAAAATATTACACCAAAGAAACTATACCAAGCACCTTGTTAAACACAAATATTAAAACTGACAATTAATGAGATCAATGGCCTATTTTTTCTACTTTCTTATCCACAATATTGAACACTCCATTAACTCCACATAAACCTAGAGCACACAATACCAGCACTTAAAATACATTCAGGGCTCAGAAAACAAGCCATGAAGCATTAAAAGACCCAACTAAAGGATTCATTGAAGAAAGCCATTGTTACATGAGTTTGTGGGTCCATATAGTGTACAATTTTCTAGATGCCATTCTCCAGGGCCATATCCACAACATGTCCAAGATCAAGTCGCTTGATCGAATCCTTGATATGTGCAATCAAACCAGCTCCCTCAAATTGCACAGGCCACACATACTTCACCTGGTACCAACAACCACAGCAAAACCATCACTTAATGCTTGCAAGTTCTCACCTGTAGACTGCCACCAACAGAGTTGCAGTGCCTAAACCAACAATTTCAGACCACCAGATTGCTCTTGTATTTGTTGTGAAGGAAGAGGTATTCATTTGCCATCTATGAGAAGGCTTCGCAACATCGTCTGTAGACGGAAACGAAACCTGCAACGGAAGGTGAGAAATGACATACATGGAAATGGTTGTGGGCGAGAAATGGAATTGTGGCCGAGTGGAAGTTCATGTCGACCTTCTTCCACGACATTTGCTGCAGGCCTCGAATCATCTCCTCTGCTCCAGAAGAGCAAACTTGCTTCTATCAGCGAAATCAACATGAAGAGGGAACAACTCCACAAACTGCATTGGTTTTGAAGCGAAAGGAGTGCAACACAGGAGAGTGACTGACTTACCTTCAACAGTTTTCTGGTAAGAGAGGGGCAGTGAGAGTTGAAGAACGGCGTCCTTCTTTACATTGTGCGACTGCAACCTTGTTTTCGAGATCTCCACTGCAGGGCAGAGTGTTTCACTTACGATGTGTTGGTAGCCGTCTAACGATCTATTGGGTGGCTGCATAATCAATCAAAGGAGAAAAATAGGCGTGTTTAGGATACAATCTGCCTTGCTCACTTTTACAGAAAGATCGCGAACGAATCAAGATACTAGTCATGAGTGGTCACTGTGTGTTTCTGTCGATTCAACACTTGAAAATTCAAATACTTTGTGTCGCAGAATAATTTCCCAAGAACATTGAACACAGAAGCAGAGGGTAAAAAATCTACAGTTGTAAGCTCAGTCTCTCTTCGTATAGACGATGTCCGCCAACCCACCATCTCTGAAGAAACCAGTTAAGCAAACGGCCAAAGTTTGTTTGAATTGCAAAACTTAAAATTTAAATCATAAGTATCAGGTGACAAGGAGACTGATTTCTTCAAATAAAGTGCAGAGCGCTCTGGAATAGTCGCCAGATCTTGTTAGACGAAAAAGGATACGATCGTAATCGACATTCGCATATGCCACTCGCATTTTGAAAGCTCGAAGTGCCGATCTGCAATTTGCATAGATTTGAGCACAATCAGACAATCAAGAGTGTGTACCATTCGTCCATAGCCATCTGTTGGCGACATGAGATGATCACGAGGCTTACATGAAACAACCGTCGCTGCAATCAGTAGCCATCCGTAATAAAAGCGGGGGCTCATTCAGCTCTCCGTCCGAGAGAAAGAGCTGACGCGCTGTCCTACCAACAGTGAAAATTGCTGCAAGCTCCTCGAGAACAGTCACCCCAAAAGCCATCGGTAGCTGTGGCAGTCTGCTGGGTTACAATCACGCTGCACACAATGGGTTTGAAGAGGGGAAATTGCGCCATTCACTACTGAAACCTAAAGTGCTCACAAATAACCTAATATGGCTCATCGGCCAGGTTTAGGGTTTAGGGTTTAGGACAACCATTTGAAGTGAACTAAACATGAGCGTGCAATCCGATCAAACACTTCACCCAGGTTGGCGAAACAATTATTTTTTGGCTTCCTGCTCTGAATTAGATACTAACGCGGAAATAAGAGACAGCAACGTACCGACTTGCTCCCTCGCATACCCAGGTGCGGAGTAGCGATTGTTACAAATTGCACGGGCTCCAGACCAGCGATTGTTGAGTCTCTAGCGTTGTAGAGATTCGCAATAGCATATCGTTGGAATAGACCTCCCAGCGAGTGAGCCACAAAGGAAATCCGTTTCAATCCTGGATTCGTCCATACGATCTGCCGAACCTGCAGAGCAAACGAGCAATGTAGAAAAACTAATTAGGTCTTACAGTCTTACTGGTGTAAATGTTCCACTTCCATCCATTTATAAGACTGCTGCGTAACCGATCTACGGTGCTACTTAATGTTTCCAAAGAATCCAAATGTGCATATCGATTTAGGGTTCTAAAAGAACTCGAGTCCGTGGCAGTTTACCTCATCCGCCAAGCGCTTGCCAGCTAAATCTACTCCAACGAATGTCTGAAATGTAGGGTTGGAGCTGCTTGCTGCATTGCTAAAGCAAAGAATCATGTTAGAGTGATCGGTGACAACTGCTTCCAATCAACCACAGTCCAAAAGCTCTATGCTCTACTAGAAACTCTACGACTAGAAGAAGCGGAAGAAGAACCAACCATGGATCAAAAATTTGCTCCCGAGTTCACTTTGCAAGACTTCTTTCACGTCATCCCAATCCCTGGGCCTGCGAAAAAAAAAAAAAAAAAAAAAAAAAAAAAGAACTACAAGGTATGAATTGGATGTGCTTGAAGTTCTTGAAACGGTGCCTAGCCCGTCATGGGCGACACAAGAATTATACTGACAAATTGGTGATGTTCAAATTTACACCCACATCGGAAAGAATTTCGAAACACAAACCCTGCATTGATGCCATGAACGAGAACAAGGAGATGGTCTGCCAGCGCAATTCGTTGCCTCTCTCTATCATCCCGTTTGTTTCTGACCGATGCGCTGGGAAATCGATTGTTGTCATCAAGACTCCCCAAGGTTTCCCCACTCGGTGTCGTCCCAGGCGCACCGAGATTCACATACTGAACTGTGAAAAGGAAGACAATCGCACAGTCACACAGTCAACCAACACATGGAAGTTTCGCAATACGTCAGGTTGCCAATCCATACGAAACAATCGGGAAAGGCTGATCACCTCGAATCTTGGAGGATTGTGCGCACGTCACAAACAGACGCCACCGTCGTGGCCGGTTACACACTGACAAGTGATCAGAAACACCAAACCTAAAACGAGGTGAATGTGAAACGCAACTGGTGCTGGAAACTGGATACAGGAGTACGGTCGCAGCGTGCAAAGCCATTAGACGAGCTCACCGTGCCACTGTCTGCGCTACACCCGAGCACTCACTGTACATGAATTGTGATCAGAAACCGCTATTCCTGCAAATACGGTTCCCGAGTCTGCATCAACATGATGTGCTGGTCAAGCGTAAAAAAAAAACAAAAACAAAAACATGATGAGCATTGCCTTGTTTAGAAGCAAGCGATTTCCCTTCACGGATTTTTATCATTCCCCATATCTCAACTTGTGCTTGCTCGCACTCCACGCCTTCCTTGTGGAGCCAAGCAAAACATAAAGGTCCAAAGCACCCTATCCTTGCGGCTTAACCTCACTGAATATTCCTTTTTTGAGAGTGACCCACTTTTCATTAGTGTCTTCTGACGTGAGACATGTGTATTCATCGTGGCTGGCGAGGTTTTCACGCTACTGTTTGTTCGCCAAAGTACCAACACGCACCCCAAGCACCACAAGTGCCATCGACTCCCCCAGACTTACTTCCTCGTTTTACGTGCAGGGCATATGCATGAGCATGGTTCTCTCTCTCTCAATAGTGTCTCAGAATCCCTCCACAGTTGCAGTGGAATCATCGGTAAGTCAACTGAGATACTCCAGTTTTACTAAGATAATGGGGCTCCTCGGTAGCGGCACATTAAGTGAAAAAGCTTGAATCCGACGACGTGTTGGCTACACAGTGCTTCACCGCCAAATCTTAGTAGCTTAATAGCTGAATCACCCTGAGCCCTGCCCCTCGTGGATATCCACGTAACTTATGCAACAACTGGTTAAGCATATTTCTTTTGGATCAGGTTAATGAACTAAGATTCGGTCCCCGAGGGTACCGACTTAATACAGACTGCTAGTATTCGCATATGAATACGAGTGGTTGAAGGAATTTCCTCACTTGAAAAAGAAGTAGACTCGTCCAGAAATTATTCCGTCTCCTCAATAAATGTGTTACATGCCGAATATGTGTTACAGGAATACGTTCAAGAGTTTTCATTATTTTATAAATATAAAGACATGAAAATGTGGTTTTAATAGTGTTTTCAGCATTATTGGGTTGAATTTAACAACGATTCGTGTGAAGTAAATAGTTTGTGAACAACAATCATTTTTGTTGGATTCCAATAAGGTGTGAATTGTTTGACTGCAACTTGGAAGTTATGAAAATTGAATCGTTTTTTATATTTACAAACAGTATAACTATTTGTGCAATTTTCCTTTGGGGTTACAATAACTCTATTATTTCATTCTTTTATTATTTATACATAAGATGTAACTTTTGTTGTCATTTCAACTTTCCTTGCAACACCTTGTGCGTTTCTAATTTTTATTATGTTTTGTATTAAGAAAATATTAGTATAATTCCAATATTAAAATATAATGTTTTTCAATTTTTTTAAATAAATTTTAATTTAGAATAGCATTTCTACATCAATCAAATTTTTTGTGATTACAGTTTTAAAAGATTAGTTGTGTGAGATTAAACAATGTTTAAATTGTTGAAACATGATTATACGTATTTTTAAACTGAAAAGTAAAAAGATGCATCTTTTTTATATCAAACACATCCAATATTTTATTATCTAAAGACTTGAAAGTACTCAAAGATAAAATAGTGACTATGTTAAAAGACTTTAATCACATTCTTACACCCTTCATAATAATCACTATTTTCTTGTAAATCTACCCAATGCAAGTAATGGAGCTTCCAAAGTTTGTCGCTTAATTATTCTATCCATATTGTAGATAAATTCCGTTTATGATAATAAGTAAACATAAACAACTTGATAGACCAATGCAAGACCAAAGTCATATACATATGTATGCACATGTACACATACACAATCAATAGAATAAAACAGAAGTTGTTATATATAACTTCACACTTTTTACCAATAAACAGTATATTTACATTTTGTCAACTATTGCTAACTAAAAGAACACCAACCATATACATATATATATATATATATATACCCAGAGACAAATTAATTTATAATCAATTGAAGCTAATGATGAGCAAACTACAACCTCAAACTACTAAACGATGGCAAGTTGTCAACTAAAATCCAACAACAAAATGCCGATAGTGGCCCTCACGATGCTAGTACTAAAAGAAAAATGAATAGCCCAAAGAATTACCACTCTCTCTCTCTCTCTCTCTCTCTTATGTTTCACAAAAAATTCAAGTATGAACAATTGAGAAGCATAAAGCTCTAATTTTTCCAGTGCCCATTTAATTTTTATTGCTCCACGTAGGCAAAGTATTCACACGTGGCGTCCAAAGGTAGGCTGGAAAGTGAAGTTAATGGGGTTGAGGGTGTGAAAGCGGCATCGTCCAGTGGGGAAGCAGAATGAGGAGGAGGAGCTGGGTGAAGCAAATAAAGGAGAAGGGACGTTAAGGGGCAGCAGGCGAGCAGGAGAATTCCTCACATCCACAAGCTCCATTGTGTGCTCCACTGTGTTGAAAAGACACAGTTCATGCTCACTCAGAGCCACGCATGTGTTCTCCGGGTATGAAGACAATCCCCGCCCTGCCAGCCTCTTCCTCTTCATCACCTCGCTCCACAGCGCCATCGACCCTGTCCATTGAAACTCATGAATGCACAAGAAAACGTCTCGACCCACCTCTTGCTCAGTAAACACATACACTTTACCTGCACATTCCACAAGCTGGGTGGTGGCCAGATTCACTGCTGCGTCAGTTTCAGTGTCGCCGACCATCACCAGTGGTATCTCGGATTGCGAGCTTGCGTCTTGGAACCATGTGTGCAGCTCAAGATCATACACCAGGATGCCTCTCATGCCCGAGCTCAGAATGGCCACGCACAACAGATACTCTTTGTCCCCGGCTTTGTAGGTTGCGCCGTTGTGGTATTCGTTCAGGCCAAAACGAGCGCAGCGGAGATCAGAGTTGCTTGGACGAGTCCATGTTCCGGTTCGGGATGAGTACTCCTCTGTTATGAGGGAGAGCTCCTCGGTTCCAATTGCAGCGCTTCCGGCTACCACGACTTTGTAGTGGACTTTGTCGACTGATTGGAGGTGCATGAGTACTGGCTGTCTAGGGAAATTCATCGGTGGAAGTGCTTTTACCTTCTGGGTTAGTGGGTTGCAGATGACCAGCTTCTGTGGACTCGGAGAATTCGCGACGTTTATGCACAAGAGGCCGTCTGCCGCTGCCACCATGTGGTCTTTGAAGATGTCGGGATCTAGCGACGGCAATAGATTCCTCGCAAAGTTCAGCGACGGCAGTGTGACCCATTTGTTCAGGTCTCTGTTGAAACCAAGCCAATGCCAATCGCCAGAATCGTCAGTTGTGAAAAAGCTCGGACCGAAGGTGCCCTCCGTCGTCCTTCCCAGAACTCTGAGTCGCTTCTCAAAAAATGAGCGGCTTGAGATTGCTTCTTTCCACGTTCTGCTGACAAGGCGCAATTTGATGAGTTCGTGCATTGGCTCGATGTGACTGAATACCTCTTCATCTAGTTCTCGTAGAGGCATCATCCCAGACGGAACAACAACAGTAGAAATGGTTTCGTTGGGCATCGTGGTTGCAGCTTCGGTGCCGAAGTGCTTCGACGGATGTTGGTATTGAGTGCACTTCCCATCATCACTCACACAAAATGGATCTTCCGAAATCTCGTATGATACATTCCCATATGACAATGTATCCTCAACATTGCCGATATCCATGGCAACCTCCTTGACCACGAGTGCGCCATTATTGCTGCGGTCCTTCTCATCAGTGGTGATCCGGCTAACTTCATTTCGAGTAAATGGACCTTCGGCAATTGAGTTTCCCGTTCGATTTGCTTCCAAACCCTTTCGACACAACCCAACTTCACCCCAGCTCGGAAAATAATCTTTAAATTGCGAGGTGACCCATTCAACAAGGAAACTTAGAGTATTAAGCATGTTTTACGGACTACTCTCATCTAGACAGACGTGGATCCCAATGTGAATATAGTTGAAACCTATAGACAAGCAGCTCACGTTATTTCATACTGCAAAACTAGAACATGTCGTGAACCAATCCAAAGCTCAAACTTCTCTCTGTACACATGATTTACAAATCTCTCTGCAAGCACACTAGAAAAACTCTACAAACAATTGGAGCATCATGGTACATACATGCAACAGATATTTACAAGAGATTGTCGGCAAGAGCGTTCTCTGCTCTCTATAACGGCATCTGACCTAGCTCTTCTTTCCTACCCCATCTTACCGACATGACACTCATACGAAGGGACTCAATTCCTAGAGAAACAATCTTATTCACATACTGCAATTCTTCCCCCATTGTAGCCAGCAGGCTACCTTTTATACTGATAGCATAATGGAAGATGGAATAATTTGTATTACGCGTTCAACACATCGTTAGTTGAGTTTAATCTAGGATACTAGGATGAACTAGAATACAAATTTGGGATCTCGTTTTGGTAATGACTTCCTTCCAACACACAATTTCCATTTTTGTTGTATGCTGTCTTGTTAGAGATTTTTAATCGATTCTTTAAAAGAGAATCCAAAAACTTTACATAAAATTTTATGAAACGCACAAACATAGAAGTTGTTTCGAATATTGTATCTAACTAATAATTTTATAAGTGTCTGTACATCCATCCAACAGTACTTTCGTTAACATAGACGAACAGATACTCATTCACTTTCATCTGTCAGATGCGAACAGTTGTCACGTTTTAACAAATATGGGGTCATTTTATGGGACCCATCATATTTAGCTTTTTACGTTACATTATATTTTTATCTTTATTCTTTTGACTCAAAAATGTGATCAGCGTGATGCATCTATTGCATCTATCAAGGTATTTTCCAAATAACGTAAAAAAAAAACTGAAACTTAATAAACGCCTACAATTGTGCCATGAATACTTGTAGAAATGCGATTTTTATCGGAATTTGTGGTCCACATAATCAAATGCTTCTTTTTGTATTCAGATTACTTTCTAAATGTCTTTTTGCTGATGTTATTGTTTCATATGATTGGTGTTCAAAAGATGCTTTGGAATGTAATCATGGGAATCATGCCATAATGATGGGTCTTTATAACTTTGGATTGATTCGGATTTTTATATTTTTGTTCTAACATTAATACATTACTTTGGGTCAAATATTAGTTGCTATTTACAAGAAGTGTTTAAAGCACGCTCCAACATGGTTAATGCCACATCTCCTTGCCATTTCATCATTGATTTTGTGGATTCTATGTCTTTGTCTCTTGTTTCCAATTCCATGTTTCTAT